CTGTAAATTTGTGTTAAAAATTAACAGAAAAGGGATATAAGATGCAAAGTGACCAGGAGATTTAAGGAGGCCTAATTTATATAAAATTAAAAAGTGCTAACTCCATCTTGGTGTCCCCCCCAAAATAAATTCTAAATGACTATTCAATTCACAATTATAAACCTCTAGAAAATAAATGATTTATCTAAAGTCACACTCTGAATTAATACAGTTGTTTTTCTGTGTGTGTTGTTTTGTGTACATCCATTGGTCTGTGTCTACAAAAGAATCTTAAAACAATGTTGGGCAGAACTTAATATGCCCTGGAATTCCAGAAAATAACGGACTAGCTACCAGTGGACATTTAATCTTTACATTTTTTGAACTCATTATAAGCATGATTAAATTGATTCATGGCATGCCTAACTTTAAAAAAAATTTGTGTGTGTCAGCTTCTTTAAGATGATTCTTGAACGATAATTAGAGGGGCTGTTGCCTTGGTCTAATTATCTGGGTTTTTCTGCTGCCTCACTCAAGGCATTTAAGAGTTAACTTTCAAGCTCTGGACCAAAAAAAAAAAGGGTGTGGGGGGGTCATTTTAAACTCAAGTGACCGCCATGATTGCCTAATTTAAGGCTTACAAAAGGGAGCCTAAAGTTTGGTTATTTAAACAAACAATCTTAATCCATTTTGTTCTACCCAAAATATAATTTTGATTCAACCCTCTTTTAAAATATATTTGGGTATATTAGTAAATTGTGTTTTTGCAAATTACTAGTATATACAAAATAATTTAAATTGGTTTCTTTCTAGGTCTTCATTAAGAATATGACTACTAAAATTATTGTGTTGGGTTAAAAAAAGTAATTTTGCCTAAATTCAAAAATGTTGTAAAATACAGATAAAAAAGGAGCTATAAAAGAAGATATGGTAATGTATTCTTTTTAAATGATAGGAAAAATATAAGGAAAACCTTATATTTATAAAGTATGGCTTTGGTCTAAAGAAAAGGATTGTCCCAATTTGGGGGAAAAAAAGGGGTGGAGAAGGATAAGGACAGACCCAGAGGGCCAGAGCTTCAAAGTAACTATATCTTAAACTGTATGAGATGGAGCTTCTTAAAAGCTTATGTATATAATTAAGTTGGCTATAATTAAAAAGTTATCTAAAGGATTTTCTGAGGTCAAAATTTAATACACTAACTCTATGTCTAATATTACAATGCTTTCTTTAAAATGCTGTACTTAAAAACTGAATCTTAACTGAGTCAAGAATCATTTGAATGTCAGTTTATGTCAAAATCTTTTAAATAACCACTTTACAAACAATCATTATTTTAGGTGATTCTAGTACATCCTATATGCCTGTGACTAAAAATATGTAGAGCTGGATGTCTGAACTTTATCTCAATGAAACACAGAGTTAAAGATACACCAACTTAATACATACAAGGTAACAAGCGCTCTCTATTGTACAATATACACTACACTTGGCCTGCATCTATTTGCCTTCGCTAAATGACCATTTTTGTATGTATGATACACTTCTATATTAAAAAGTCTATTTAAGGTAACACTGTTCCCTAGTCTTATAAGAGGCCTTTGATTTTTGTCAATGCTATAAACCTATTATCCTACTAAGCCAAAGATTCTAAATTTGCTTCAAAAATAAAAACTAAGTCAATATGTAAAGTACTTCTGTGTAGCTATGATAATTGTTACTGACTCCTTGGTATGTTAAATGTTTTTATGTTCCCTAAGTATACAAGTCTTGTAAAATACAAAGCTTAAAAAACACTTCAACAAACTAGTGTCCTCCACACTGAGATAGTTAATGTTGCCAACTTTTATGGCTTGTGTTCATGTGCTGATATGTATCATGACTTCCATCTTTAAGCGAAGTTAATTACACTCAAAGCAGTGCCACTCAACTAAAAGAATTGGATGTTTGTCACCTAAGAGTACATCTATAAACAAGCACATTGTACCTTACTTAAAATTCACTTATTCTTTGTGTGTTTGTGTGTGACTGGGGTTTAAACTCAGAGCTTCATGCTTACAAACCAGATACTTTACTCTTGAACCACACCTCCAATCTATTTTGCTCTGGTTATTTTGGAGATGGGGGGGCTCTTAAACTATTTGCCTGGACTGGCCTCAAAGTGCAATCCTCCTGCTCTCAGCCTCCCAAATAGCTAGGATTATAGGCATAAGCCACTGCACCTGGCAAAATTCATTTATTCTTAAAACAAAATTAAATGGGGATACATATATATATATGTGTGTGTGTGTGTGTGTATATATATATATGTGTGTGTGTATATATATATATATACACACACACATTTATGTGTATGTGCATGTATAGTAACCTTTGACTACATCTATACGTATATATAAAATTATTCTTTATAATAAAATAAAAACTTAAAGGTATCTTTAAGAGGGTTAAAATGAGAAATTGATGAATCTGAGATAATGCTATCAATCATTATTATCTTTTTCTAACAGAGGTAAATAGACTTATTTGTCAACTGCTAAACTTTCTTCAAAATTCTAACCATGACTGTCCTTTAAGTCTTTTGTCATCCACAGTTTGACTCCTTCTCTAAAGCATTTACAATCAAGGTCATGGAAAATGGCTCTAACAAATACTTATTTTCTTCAATGTTGACTGTTACCTGATTTGGTTCCTATCGTATTTTTTCCTGTAAAACTTTCTAACTGTTGCCTGTTGACGTCCTATATATTTATGCTTATAAATCCTATATATTTATACTTACAAATTCTAACAAAACAATTCTGAGTAACTAAGACATTACCTACAAGACAAACAAAAATAAACTTAAAAAATGGACTCCAGGTAAGCTCAGCCTAAGAGTCATTTTTTCTAAGCCTCTTAGTTGCTTAAATTTGGCCAAAGGTCTGTCACTTCTCCCCTGACATGGGATCACATCAGTCCATCCAGAAGAAATCTAATACTGGCAATGAGACACAATTAGCCACACAGGATTTCTTCAGTGAAAGCTGTTCGGAGTCTAGGGGAAAAATGGTGTCACTTATGCCAATCCTTCCAAAGTAAATGAAGCCAATGGGTTAAAAAAAAATGTTCTTATGCATAATTACCTGACTCTAAAGACAAGCCCTCTCACCAAACACCTCTAAACCAAACTCATGTCTTGACAAATGGCTTCTATTTTAAAAAATAACTATTTCCACCAATTCCAAACATAATTTAATAGTCCGTGTTCATAGTTATTTCATATCAAGGTGCTAATCATGCAGTCCTTCAAGACTGACATTCACCAATCAAAACAATGTCAGATCCTGCCCCTTGAGTCTTAAAGGTTTATTAACCTCCTAGGTCTTTAAAAGATCCTAATACAAAGATTATTCATATGTGGGAAAATATTACTCTGTTGATTTATGATACTTTTTTTTTTTTTTATAAAATATTCCCTAATTTCTTCTGTGGTTTCTTTTCCAGTTCAGGACCACGTGATACTCCTGGCACCATCTGATCCTGGCAGTCTGACAGCTGAACTTCTCATGTCATCCCCTAGAACAGATAGGGCACAATTGCTGGTCCCTCATTAAGGACAGCTAGAAGTAATCACAGAAGACTGACCTCTCTCTACCCATCAACTTTCCTTAAGATTAAGGGAACAAAGCTGTTTAGGGGGGAAATGAGGCAGGATACATCAGGAAAAAAGAAGCATGAGAAACAACAGCCAGAAATTCAGAGATAAACACTGAATGGCTTGATTAAAACCACACAGGCACTATTTTCTTTGCTTGAAGCCTTACACCCCCTCAATAAACTGCAACATTTAATAAAAAGGAAAAAAAGGGGGAGGAGGAAAGAACAGCTCTCCCTCTGACCCTGCCTGCTTACCCAAATAATTAGTGTGCTCTGGGGAACTGAAAAAGGGTATCTTACAGAAAGGCACCTGGGAAAATGACTCCCCTGAGCACAAAACGTGTCTACAAGGATGGACACCTGTCTTAAAGGGAGCATTTGGCAGGACCCATCCTTTGTTTAAAGGGATGCTCAAACATGTGTGTCATAATCACCCAAATTTAGTAAGTGGGTCAAAATTTTTTTTTTGTGACACCACCATGAACTCAGCACCCAAGGGCCAGGTAGAGGCCTCCTCCCTTTTGGAGACATCCTTCCTGATTCTGGTAACAACCTCATAGCAATGCTTGGAACAGTTTGGTGGGCATACATATAATCCCAGCACTTGGGAGGCTGAGGTGGGAGGATGGCAAGTTGGAGACCAGCCTGGGATACCATGAGCCCATCTCAAGAAACAAAAGCAAAAACCAACCTGCCTCCCCAAAACAAACTATTTGATTATATTTATTCATACTCAAAACTAAGTCCAGATCCCTTACCATGACCTGTGAGTTCTACATGACCTTGCTCTTCTAATAATAAAATTACCTATTATTCTTTCCCCATGGCATTCCATTCCCTTTATCACTTTCTACACTGGAGCATCCAACACAAAAACCACCAGTCACATGTGGCTACCAAGCACCTAAAATGTGGCTAGTCCAAATTGAGATACTGTGTTACACAAACACTGGATCTCAAAGACTGAGAACAAAACCAATTACAAATTTCTCAATTTCTCTTGCCTTTTTTTCAGGCTTGGGAATGTGGATCAGTGGTAGAGAGCTTGCCCAGCATGTATAAAGCCCTAGGTTTGATCCCCAGCAACCTACACACAAAAACATACTATAAATGTTGAAATAATAATATATTCAGTTAAATATATCATTAATTTTTTTTTAAAAATGCTTATTAGAAAAGTTAAAATCACATAGTGGATCATGTTGCTCTAAACCAGGGGCTGTCAAATATGGACCATGTCAGCATTCAGCCACTGCCTGTTCTGCACAGCCAATGAGCTAAGAATGGTTTTCTCACTTAAAATGGCTTTTAAAAAATCAAAAGAATAACTTGGGACACATGAAAATTAAAGAAATTCAACTTTCAGTGTCCATAAGCAGATTGGAAGAGGGTTTATACATATTGCTCCTCCACCAAGACACCCAATTGTCATTTTTTTTAGTGAAGCACTTAGGACAGTGACTGACACACATTAGGTACTCTATAAATATGTAATTATTAAAATATAGATATTGGGGATTGTTTGCAGTACCTCATTATTTAAAGAATGTGAATTATCACTATTACAAGCCATTGTCTCTTTCTAAGCCAGGAAAGACTAAGGTTAATTAAGCCCTGAAGCAAGTTTCTTCCTAGTGAAGTAGGAATGGAAATGCTGGTATCCCACTGGGCTTGAAGACAGACCCAGGTACTGCTACATGACAAGAGGAATACAGGCCTTATAAACAAAATACCTTGTTTTATTTTATTTTAATGAATTCCATGATTTTTATTTTATTTTATTTTTTGGAGGGACTGGGAATTACATGATCTAAAAAAAACATTATTTTTGCTCTTCTTAGAAAGGAGAGGTAAAGCTGTCCCAGTTATCAAAAAATTCAAATCTCCCTTTCTTTGGTGGACTGGCCGTCAAGGTGCTTTCATCCAGGTTGTCTCCAAGGTCCTGGGAACCACTTCCAGAGGTTCCTAAAGAACTCCCTGGGTCAAAGGACTCTGCTGCCTCCAGGAGCTCCATGTCACTTTCATTTTCCTCAAAGGACTTCTGGAATAGGTCATAGATCGTCTGCTGCTTTGGGTCCTTCATCAAAGAAAGAAAAGAAAAGGTAAAAGGAAGAACCCTGGCTTCAACACCAACTCTTTTCCACTGTGGGTGGTGAAAAAGCTCAAAGGTGAGAGACATTTTATGCTGTCAGGAAGCGACATCTCAATAAACGATTTACCACTAAAATGGCCTTCCTGCTTCAGTGTCTGACATCTTTTCTGCTACTCTTTGGGTTATAACTAAAAAGAAATAGTTGTGACAGCAACAAAGAAGCTGCTCTTGCTCTGTACTTTATGTTGGAAATGTTTTCTCCCTTGTTAACTTCCAAATTAGTATTTCAGTACTGAAAAAGTTCTAAGATCACTTCCTTCTAAGCCTTTCCAAACTGAAGAGTTAGTTAAGCTGTAATTCACCTCTCAAGTCTCTGTTCAGTTATGAATTCGACCTCATTTTCAGAGTGGATACCTACCTGTCTCTGTGTCTGATGACACAGATGATCAAAATGCCCACCAACTGCATCTGTCCATTGTTCACAAGGGTGCAGTGTTAAACACCAGGCCCAGGAATGACAACCATCACAAATGATGGGCTAACTATCACCTCTCTGCTGAGCTCTCCTAAGTTACTTTCCAATCCTGACCATCGTTCAGTCCAGAAGTACATTTTCAACATCTCCATGGACATCCAAAATTCCATAAAACTAAAATAAAAAATGATTTCTCAGTTCACATCCCCAAGCCAGTTTCTCTCCTCAAGAATGGTATTTTTGAAAGTCTACCAACATTCTTATGGTTTCCTGCTTGAAAACACCACACCATGGTATCCTTAGTATAAGTTTGTTCCTTCCATCGCCCTTTCCTATTAAGGCACTCTCCTGACTTGGCCTACACCTCTTGGTACCTACAAGGATTTGCAATAGTTCAACTGTACTTTTGCCTCAGGTTTCTTCCCATCTCTATCAGCCTCTAGGTCTCTGCTAGTCTGATTTTATTTTCAGGCAGCCCTTTAACAATTTCCTGTTGTGTTTTGGGCTCCTTGTGTCTAAAGTTGCCTGGCTTTTCCATCTTTTGTAATTAGGTTTCAACCTAACTGGACACTATTTAACTGAATCCTTCCACACTGATGAAATGAAGTTTCCTTCAGGGAAGCATGCCATGTAAGATCTCCAGATTATTCCATTGACCTATACCCCATGTTTCCTAGCTTTTCAGAATCTAGCCTTTTGGAGCAGAAATTGATATTAAAGTTCATTAAGTTTGAACCTAACACAATCCACATGTCCTCCCAAAGGATATCAATGTCTTTTGTGAAGCTTTCATCAGAGAAAGACGTGCAAAGTCAAGAAAACAGTACCCTAAAAGGCAGTCCTTCCCAAGAAGAAATACCTACTAATGTGTATTTGATTATGGTGATGGCAACACTATATGCAAACTTGGAGCATGCATAATTAATTAGAAACAAGGTTCCAAGATCAGATTAATATTTCATTTCCCTTTTCAGAAGGAAGGCTATCTTACTGAGACATAACCTTTTTTGCTTTTGTCTTCTGTAAAGGAGGCGACATTTTCTGTTGTTAATGAAAATTTCAGCCCTCTTTTTTTATAGTGATAAATGATAACAGAATTTATTAGGAGAGGAGTACACTTTCAATAGACTGAAAGTGGGTCATCTCTAGAGTGAGAATGAGAATAACCTCAGCCCTATCTTAATAAAAGTAAGTTGATAAAATTTTAATCAAAATATTGATAAATCTCATTTATGTTATCTTGTATTTTAGGCAGAAATTCTTTACTAATCCAGAGTAACTGAGGGAAATGCCAAGATGAAAAAAAAAGTTCAAATGAGAATGTTTCTTTTCAAAGAAATATAAGAATATATTTATATTCACCATTCAATTGAATTAAGAGTGTATTCAAAAGCTTAAAAATAGGTTGCTTTAAGATTGGCATAGTAACTGTTTTTGTCTAAAAGGATTATGTATAGTAGACACTTAAAATATAATCTGAGTCTTATTCCAATAATTACATTAATAAAAAAGGATTTATCTGCTGAGTAAATGTAAATGATCAAATCCTCAGATTCTTAAGTCTTAAGAGTTACCTATAAGACTTTGGTGATTTAACTCAACTTCTGATGCTTAGCAATTCCACATAAGAAGGCACCTCAGTTCTCTGATGACTACACCATGAAGCCACCTTCCTGCATGAGGTACAGCTTCGCCCAACTCTCTCGCTAAGAACAATTTACCTATGAGTCACAGGAGCCAGTATCCCTTGAGTTTTCATTTTTGTTGGTTAACTGCCTGAGTGTTGAAAGAAGATAGGCCCTTAGTGGTCTCTGAGCTTCTGCTCTATGGTGTCTCACTGAAATGGAGAAGCACAAGTCCAAGACAGCCTTTGGGCTAGAGTGTGCAGCCAGAGCACGCATGGAGGACCTGGGACTGTCCTCTCCAGGGCCAACAAACCTCCTCTCAACATCTCTGACATGTGTACCTGGTCATGGGAAGATGTCCTCTGACTTCTTATATCCCTTTATAATGATGCCTGTGGCTGATGCCACAGAAGGAATGATAGGCCAAGATGCAAAGGCTTCAAGTTGGTCTAGTTTAACATGCCCTGTGACTTGATGTCATGTCTCAGTTTATTCCTCTATAAAATGGGAAGACACTGAGAATACAACGAAATGAGATAGGGGAAAATGTTCATTGAAGCAATGCCTCCTTTTTTTTTTTTTGGAGGTACTGGGGTTTGAACTCAGGACCTCATGCTTGCTAGGCAGGCACTCTATCACTTGAGCCACACCCTCACCCCAAATGCCCTATTTTAACACCCTCCAGTTCTGTGCTGGAGACATTCCATGGTAGCCCTACTGTGTGGTTGGTGCTGCTATTATACTTTTTGTGACAATTCAACAGTTGCCACGGGAAGTTTTCCATCAGTTTCTCATGGCCTGATGGACAAAGCAGCATTTGGAAGCCTTGGTTTTTAAGAATCTCTTGAGACATGTAAGAAGCATTAGGAGTCAATGTCATCGCTTCCCATAAAGGGCTGCATGTGTGGGTTGCAGGCTCTTCATTTTCAGCTCCAGGAGCAACTCACACCCCACTCAGGACCCATGGTTTGGCAGATGGCTTGCTGCTTCCCTCTGCTCCAGTAATGGGGAGCCATGTGCTGCTGTTACCTTGTACAAGTAATCCGTAGCTTCTGTCATTTCTGAGAAATTGGTCTCAGAAAGCCCAGCTTCCCCCAGAATTTTAATCTTCTCTTGAATCAGGGGCCTGTGGGGGAGAAATGAGCTGCAGTGAATACAACCTTCCCAGAACCAGCAGCCAATTAAAATGAAACCACCCTCCTCATTACTATGGGACGGTGATGTGGTAACTGTTTCACATCTATACATCTCTCAAGGCACAAACATCCACCTGAAATATGTGTCCCCATCAGTTGAACAACTTCCAGTTGAAGGCTCGTAATACCAGGTTCAAAGTTCTTTCTAATGGAAGATGCGTAGGAAATAAATGCTACCTCACTGCAACAAAACTTTGAGCCTGGTGATAATTACAAGCTGCCCAGTGAATAAATCCACTGAACACATAGGGAAGTAGGGTGATACACAGTATTTCAGAGGTCAGACAACTTGGTCGTAAGGCTGGACACACATGAGTAGTTAACACTAATGAGACAATCAAGAAACTTAATATTAGGAAGGGGAAATGGGATTGAGAAGGACCATTTGGGGAATTTTTGCTTAGGTAATAGACACAAACTACCAGGGTTGCAAATGGGCTCCCGGCTCTGTTCATGAAGCACTGCATGGCCCAGGGCAAGCCGTTCCCTGTGTGTCCAGCAGCAGCATTGTAAGATGTGGCTATCACACCATACATCATAAAAGGAGAAAGGAGGCCATTCTCTGTCCTAAAGAGTGTCTTCATGGCTGGGAACACAGCAACTTACAAACTGAAACCATCTATGTCATCACAACCAGGTCCTAACCAGCAACTGTCCTAGTATTAGACCTTTATTCCGACAAGATTTTCTCCTGCACCCTGCAAGTCCTCAACAACATGGTAATCACTAAAGAAGGTTCTGCTGTGCAGGTCACCAAATGCTTCAGCAAAAGCGGAATCACTCAAGGAGCACAGAAAACACATCCCATCTGACTGTCCTTACTTAGCTCCACATCCAGGCACCCAGCCATGCATACCAAAGGTAGTCATCTGCTGTGCCTTTCGCCACCAGGTAGTGAATACCCACGGAGTTTGTCTGTCCAATGCGGTGCACCCGGTCCTCAGCCTGGATCAACACCTGCATGCCCAGGAATCAAAACAGTTAGATAAAGTCCTGAAGCAGTCAGCCCACTGCAGCCTGTGGCCTCTTGTCCCCAGCCCCAACTTGCCCCTTCCTCCTCAAAGGTATTTCACTATCTTTCAGACCTGCCAATTTAACAAGAGAGAGACAAACACAACCCTGGTTTTGGACCTAGAATCTGCAGCAGGACATGTGTGGGTGGTCCTCTGGAGTTGGGCACTGTGCTAGGTGCAGAAAGTGGAGGGTGTGCATAGGCTTAGCCATCAGGCTGAGGGAAAACTGACACGTTTACATTTCTTCCTTTCACAGCACTAAGGACTATACCCAGGGCCTTATACATGGTAGGCAAGTGTTCTACCACTGTCCCATATCCTCAGAACCCTTATCCCCCTCTTTTTTTGTAGTGTGACGATTGAACCCAGAGTTCATGCATGCTCTACCACCGAGCTATTCTCCCAGCCCATATTCCATTTCTTGTCTCTGGGAAGTTAAAAGTTATCTTTTAAATAGCAAGGTGGTATTTTCATATGGTGTAGACCCCATAATAAGTAAAATCAAGAGCACTGTTTCTATTATGAATGGCCTCAACCTTGAACTCCACACATTATTAAAATAGTCACTGGGTGAAAGTCATATATCTATAACATCAGAGGGGTTTTTTTTCCTGAAGCTTAGGAGAAAATTTTTATGTGTTTAAATAAATGTTCTACACCTGCTGCTACAGCCCTCAGTTGGTCAGTAAGATTGGGGGCACATGATATCCAGGGAATATACAGAGCTGTCGCTTGTGGGAGGCCTCCTTGACTAAGGCAGCTCTTGGTGATGGCTAGTAAAAAGGGCACTAGCTGGAAATCCAGAGCCGGGGTGCAGCCCAGTGCCACCACATGTAACCTAAAAGCATAGCTTTGCAATCCTGGCTCACCATGTGGGCTTTCTGCACCCAGTCTCCTCATAGGAGAGATGAGGTCTAGGATTCTACTACAACTGTGATTTTCCCATTGATGGGAGTCAGTAATCCTACAGGTTGCTGTGATGACCTAAAAACTAGTCAATGGACATGCAGTGCTTAAAAGAAGTGAAAACTGACACATAAAACATAATGATGAGGGCAAACAGAAAGACAAGAGAGACTGCAACCTATGTCTCCCTTTACTCCCCGGCCATGAGCATGGCTGGGGTCTCAGTCCACTGTGTCCCTTACCCCTGGGTTCCAAAAGAGCTCAGCGAACACCACCAAGTCAGCCGAGGAGAAGGTGAGGCCCATGTTGGCAGCAGTAATGGACAGTACTGCCACTGAGTGCCCCTCGTACAGCTGGAACTGCTGGCACAGTGCCTCTCGATCCGCTGAGGGGGTGCAGCCATCAATGCGGATGTGCTGCACGTGCTGCAGGAACAAGAGGGACACTGAGGGGGCTATAATAATGCCCAGGGGCCATCAAGCAAGCACAACCAGGCATGGCCTCAAGGACACAGTCCTCTCTACTTTCAGGGTTTTCCTTATATTTCTTTGTGTGGTAGTACTGGGATTTGAACTCAGGGCCTTATGCTTGCTAGGCAGATGGTCTACCACTTGAGCTAAGCCCCCAGCCCTTTTTTTCAAACTGGGTCTCACATTTATGCCTGAGTGGACTTGGACCAGTCTTCCTATTTACACTTCCCATGTAGCTGGCATGACAGGCATATACTACTACGCCCAACATTTTTGGATGGCATCTCAGGAACTCTTTGCCTCTGCTGACCACAATCCTCTGACCTCTGCCTCCTGAGTAGCTAGGATTACAGGTGTGAGCCACTGCACCTGGCTTGTCTTTCCATTTTTTATCACAGCCATTGTATCACTTTGATACAATCCACCAATCTTCAGATTTCCCATCCTGCATGCAGGTGAGTTCTACACATTTTTATCAGTAATGTAGGTTTTCATGTATTCACCTCCACAGCTGAGATACTGAATGGTTCCAGTGTTGCAAAAATCCTTTTGTATTTCTTTTAGAATTAAACTCACTTCCCTTTTTCCTCCCCAGTCTTTAACATCTAGCAGCCACTAATATACCCTGCAGCTCTAAAATGCCTCACTTCATGAATGCCATATAAATGTCATCAGACAAAATGTAACTCTCTGGGATGGGCTTGTTTCCTTCTGCCCCATTCTCTGGAGATTCAAGCTGCTGCCTAAATCAGTGGCTGTTCTTTGTTGCTGCGAGTGGGACTCCCAAATATATACAGACCATACTTTAACCTCTCATCTACTGAAGGATGGCTAAGCCCATTTAGTTTGGGGCTCCTACAAATAAAGCATTCCTGTATGGGTTATTGTGTGAACATAAATTCTCATTTATCTGAGAAAAATGCCCAGGAGTCTTTTGCTGAGTTACATGGTAATGGCAAGCTTAGTTTAGCTGTTTTCTTTTAAAAGGCATTTGTCCATTTTTTTTCAAATGATAAATGCTGTAAGAAAAACAGAAGTATTAGTAATCTTATTAATTTGTTTTTGTCACTCGTATGTGTATGGCATAACTTTTAAATGAAAAGTTCAATTTCCTTTTTTTCCCCAATAAATGTCATATTATAGAGAAGCTACTGAAAAGTTTTCTAAAATATCATTTTTATTGACTGTATTTCATTATGTGGCAATAACATAACTTAACCATTTTTCTATTTCTGAAGATTTAGGGGGCTTGCAATTTTCACTAAAAAGGCCCATCAACAGGTGAATGAATATAAAAACCTATGGTATACAATGGAACATTACTTAGCACTGTCGACATATACCAGGATGCATCCCAAAATATGATGTGTGAAGGAAACCAGACCCTCTTTAAAAAACTATATACCAAATTATTCCACATTTATATAAAACTCTTAAAAATGCAAACTAATCCAGAGTGAATGCAGATCAGAGAAGCCTGGGGATGGGAGTGCAGAAAGGGGCAAGAAGAAGTGATGACAGAGGGGCATGAGGAAATTGGGGGGTGATGGAGGTGTTCACTTCTTCTCATCAAATTGTACCCTTTATGTACAGTGTGCTGCATGGCAATCATACCTCAATAATGCTATTGGAATAAAAAAATTTAAAGGATGAGTTTGCCAACATTTGGCTATTTCCTTAGACTATAAAAGTCAAAGTACCAGCCAGGCATAGTGGTACACACCTATAATCCCAGCACTTGGGAGGGGAAGACTGGAGTTTGAGGCCAGTCTGGGTTGCACAGTGAGACTCTGTCTCTAAAACAAACAACCCAAACCAAAGTACTATGGTAAAAGGGAAAAATTTAATTTAAGGCTTCTGATATTATTGCTAGATTGCTTTCTAACAAATAATGTCCACACATGTCATCTCAATGCACTTTATCAACAGTGAGGAACACACATTTTTAAAACTTTGGCTGATTTGATGGGGTTAAAAAAAATCTTGAAGTCAAGATCATCTCAAAAAAAATAAAAACAAACAAAAAATCTTTTTACTTATTTGGTTACCAGTAGAACTGAATTTTTTCATATCTTTTAATTAGTCATTGGTGTGAATTCTTTGATAAACTCTATTCATAAACCTTGCCCATTTTTAAATTTTGTTAGGGAATTGGTGTTATTTTTACATGATGTAATTACCATTATTTACATATCATATAGGTTGTTATTAGTCTCCCTAGATTAGCTCCTTATATTATTTTTGTTTTGCAAAGTCTCCTTTATTTTATGTTTAGAAATAGCTTAGTCTTTTTTGACCATAAAAATAATATAAACTCATTGCAAAACTACAGAAAAACTAAAGAAGACAATATAGACAACTTAGATAAAATCAACATTAATATTTTGATATATATAATTCAGTCTTTTTTTTTTTTTCTCTGCAAGACAAGTTTCACAAATGCTCCTAGCCCTTTTTGGCTCTTTATTTTTCAGGCAAGGTTTTAAATTTTTGCCTGGGGCTGACCTCAAACTGAGATCTTTCTACTTTTGGCCTTCTGCGTTGCTGGGATAATAGGTTCGAACCACCATGCATGGCTTTTTTGTTGAGATGGGGGGGGTGTCTCACTTTTTGCCCAGGCTGGCCTTGAACCATGATCCTCCCAATCTCTACCTTCTGAATAGCTGGGATTACAGACATGAGTCACTGTGCCTATCATTTCAAGAAATTTTGATTCATCTGGAGGTAAAGTTGCATTTAAATCTTCTTCCTGTCTTAATTACCTGGTCCACTAGCTAAACTTTATTTGTTAAAAAAATTAAAACCAAACTGTGATGATTCCTGGATTATTTATTTGTTTTTCATTTGTACAAAAGACTATCCATTCTAGTTCCCCTATGTGGACTCCAGTTGCTGGGCCTGCACGATGTGACTTTGGATACTGGTGCTTGTCATAGACTTTCCTGTCTAGAGGGAGAAGTCTTCCAACACTCCTCCTCCTTTTCAAAGTTGCCTTCAGTATCTTCCCATTTATTTTTTGAGCCGCCCTTTAGGACAGTAGTATAACATTCCCTTTTAAAAAAAATCCAATTTACCTTTTTGTAGAGTTTAGTTAAACTTATAAACTAATTTGGGAAGGAATGACTTTTTATACTTTTTTAGCCTTTTCATGGAAGAGCAAGGTATGAGTCTTCCCAAATCTTCATTAGCTTCTATGTCTTTTTTGTGTGCGTTTATTAAAAACTTTTTGCTGTTATTGTGAACTTTACATTTACTAACTAGTTATGGCTGGTATTTTAAGTAATTTATTTTACTATACTTATTTGGACTCTGAGCAACCTACTAAACTTTTTTTTTTTTTGGTGAGACTAGGATTTGAATTCAGGGCTTCTCTCTTGGAAAGCAGGAACTCTACTGCTTGAGCCACACCTCTGGTCCATTTTGCTCTGATTTTGGGGAGAGTCTTATGAACTATTTGCCTGTGCTGGCCTCACACCATGATCTTCCTGACCTCCGTCTCCCAAATAGCTAGGACTGCAGGCGTGAGCTACCAGTGCCCAGCTCCTACTAAACACTTACACATTCTAATAATATTTTAATTAACCAGTATCTTGGGTTTCTTAAAAAGAGCAACAGCTCTTAAACACAGTGGCTTTTAAATACAGTGGCCTGCTTCCTACACCATTTAATCCAGGAGGATTAAATATCCACCTCTATAACAGACAAAAAATACAAGACAAAATCTTCATAACTTCATGTAGGGAAAGACCCCACATGGGAAAAAACTGATAGACTTGAAATACAATTAAAAATTAAAATGGAAAATTAAAATGTTGATAGAAAAACTTAAATGAAGTGAAAAATAAAAAAGATAACTGACAGATTATTAATAATCAGAATTTACAAAGAATTTTTCTAACTCAAGAAGAAAAAGACAATTCAACAGAAAAACATCTCACTTCTTAACCCTGACTGAACCCTGCTAAGAAAAAATTGACACACAAACAATGAAAGCGCCTTGGAAAGGTTCACTCAGGACCCTGTGTTAAGTGTCAAAGGCAACTTACCTTTCTCTCAAGTTCCTTAGTAACTGCATCCAGAACCACCTTATGATGTGCAAATACGAGAAATTTCTCTCTTCCACTTTCTAGAAGGTCCAGGATATATTCACTGCATGTGACAATGACAACAAAATAGATTATATACTCATTCAGTTGAGGTTAATTTCCAAAAAGTGACCACATCCATAGCAGACACATTCAAGGTACCTGTCTTCCCCAGCCCATCCACTCCCTTTGAGAGAGGACCTCTCTCCTTTTCCCTCACACCAGGTAATATGAACAGGAGCAAAATGAGGAGCTACACAGAAGCCATCCTCTGCCATGTACAGAAAAAGTTCTAAACTTTGCTGTCACCTCATACACAAACAAATTGAAGGGTCCTTATATAAGTTTTATGTGCCTCTGGTATGTTACTGATATATTCTTCTGGACTGGGATCATAGAAGACAATCAACAGTTTTCACTTTGGTTGGTACTATAATTTGCTTTTAATACAAATTGAAGTGATTTGATACCCTGAAGGGAAGGGGTTCAGGAACTCCTGACAACGTACAAATTTCTGGCAGTTTAGAGTGAAGAAATCCGTGATAATACACAAGAGACATTCAGGGAAGGCCCTCCAACTCTATTTCCCTCCCACCAGGCCTCAGGAAACAGAGCCCATGGTTAAGTCAGTGGTGACTGAATTCTCTTCCAAGGCAAAGGAATATGGTGGGGGGATCTCACTGGCTTGGTCTCCCTTGAATTTACTTCTTTCCTCTATCCACTGTGTTTTTTTCTTAACTTCACACTTCTTATCTGTAAGCC